ACTAGGTAGTTAGGTGGTTTATATAGAAAAGAGAGAGGCTACAAATTGCCAATAAGTACGTTATTATAGGATTGCATTTTAATCTTATGGCATGGAAATAGGGAACAACAGCTGAGATAGATCAGTGGAAGTCTCTAAAGGAACTATTAGTAGCATTTGCTACTTTATGTATGCCTGAGAATACTCAACACATAATTGCTTTCTAGCTGAGCCAGTGTTTTTCTCTGTCCTTGGAAGGTCACAGATGGTCATAGGAACATTATTGTTGGTTCAGACCAAAGGTCTTTTTAGTCCAACACTGTTGTCACAATGAAAAACCAGATGACTATCAGAAGCTCACAAGCAAGACATGAGTATAATAGCACTTTTGCTTCCAGGAACTGGTATTGAGAGCAATCACTAGTCAGATAATCTTATCCTCCACGAATTGGATCTTTTTAATTATCTTATGATAGTGAGTTTCATGCTTTAACTTTATGGTATATGGAAAGGAAAATATCTTATGTCCCTTTATGTGCAACAGCCCTTCAGAATTCACATCATGTTCTGTATTAACTAGCCCTGGTACTTGCATTTCTCATAAGCCATAGTTACTTATTCCTTAGGGAGAGATGTGGTACAAACACAAGGTTTTGAAAGCAAGACAGCCTGTTAATATTAGAGCAGATAGGCAAAATAATGGTAAAGAAAAGTTGGAGTGTTCCAACAACTCCTAAAATGCTTTCAGCTGCAGACAAGCAGAATGGACTTTGCAAATGATAACTGTTCATGTTTGTGATCATTCTCTGTATCAGAAATATGGTGAGTGTGTGTTGTTCCCTATTTTTCTGAATACTAGATTGTAACCCTGGACTTAATTCACCAGTTTATTGCAAGGTTGAGCTTTTGAATTTGATGACTTCTGTGATAATAAAAGAGGACAAAAGAAGAGGACGAGCAACAGCAAGATGGACAGACTCAGTTACAGTGGCGATGAGTGCACCATTGGGAGACCTGAAGGACTAGGTTAGGGATAGATCATCATGGAGAAAATCTATCTATGTGGTTGCTAGGAGTCGAGAATGACTTGATGGCACATAATCAATGATAATAAATCAAACAAAATAATCTAATACATTTTGATTTCCATGTAGAAAGTTTGCCTTTAACTGAGAAACAGTCCTTTTGTTGAAAGAAGAATAGAATGTAAGAACTGATTCTGTTTCTTTCCTTAGGCGGATAGTTTCACTAACTCCAATAAAGCAGTACCATTTACTTTCTACAGTTGAAGTGTTATCTTGTTGTTGTTGAGTTGTTAAGTTGTGTCTGACTCTTCGTGACCCCATGAACCATATCGCACCAGGCCTTCCTGTCCTGAAGTGTTATCTACCTACATTAAAAGTAGCAAATACTGAGAATATAAGATGAAATCAAGAGAACAACTGGTTGCAGAGGGATTTAGATTTCATTGGTTTCTGTATGCATGGTTAAGAGAAAGATTCAAGGTAGATAACAGGACATTTGGAACTGAGCAACAGAAGACAGAATTTGAGGTTTAATTATGCACAAATGATGAACATGTAATTGCTAAAATGTATAAACTTTTGCTGAAATTTAAACGGAAGAAGAGCAAGTAAAAGACTGTATGATAAAATGGGCTAAGATCTTTGGACACAGTATACTAATGGAACATTGGAAAATATGTGGTTAAAAGGATTGAAATTCACATTATGTTATAATCTAAAAGAGAATTTTTATAAAATGATGTACCGTTAGTATATGACTCCAGAAAAATTATCTAGAATGTATAAAGGTACCTCAAATTTATGTTGGAAATGTGGACAACATGAAGGGTCATTTTATCATGCTTGGTGGGCCTGTAAAAAAGCCAGAAAAATTTGGGTTCAAATACTGATACAAAGAATTTTAAAGACTAACACTAACTGAAACCAGAACTTCTTGTTGGGATTAATGGACAGACAACTAGAAAAAAAACATGGAAGATTATTTTTATATATGATCACTGCTGCAGGATAAATATATGCGCAAAAATGGAAAGATTCTGAAATACCCACAAAGGAGGAACGGTTTGCGAAGATGACGGAACTAGCAGAGATGGCAAAATTAACTTGTTTGCTTAGAGAAAGATCAATTACTACATTTATTAGTGACTGGAAACCCCTTATGGAGTTTTTGTTAAAAAAGAAAAAAATGAACTGATGATTTATGGATTTGATGATTAGAAATGGTAGATTATGGAAAGAAGGAAACTTTGATGTAACCTTAGAGAGAGAGGGTACTGCTGTCATAAATTATAACTGCTGGTAAGAATGTCGGAAGTGACTTCTTTATTCTTTCTTTTTTTCTTTTTCCTTCTTTTCTTTTTCTTTTTCACTTTTCTATTGCTTTACTCTATTTTTCTTATCTTTAACTTAAAATTTGTATTGTTTTTACTCTGTAGAAAAATGTCTTTAATACTATATATATATATAGAGAGAGAGAGAGAGAGAGCGAGTGAGCAAAGGCCAAAACTTTTGGTGTTTAGATGTATAAATATGATCATGAATAGGTAACCATCTCTTCAATCCCATACTGTCCTCATTCATTTTTGTTATTTGCCACATTTGTGTTTCATTTTGCCTGCAAGGGACTGGTTTTATTAACCTCATAAGCATGAGTAGGCTAATAGGCAAGTAACTCTAATTACACAATGAGTTTCTTGGCTACGAGTTTATGGCTGTAAGAGTTTTGGCTGTGGGTTTTCCACATCTGAGCCAAACGTTGCTTCAGTGCAGATGTCATACTGAAAGGAAAGAAAGGAACTTTTTGGCATAGTGTGCAGGTCCTGAAATTGTCCTCTTCTAAATGATATTTGGTGCCCATTTCTATCTTTGGGATGTTCTGGAACTGCTTTTTCATTCTTTCAGAAATATTTGGCACTTTTTACTTATCATTTACTGCTAGGTTTTTTGGGGGAGGGGGGATTGTTGACTAGCCTTGGCAGTTTTTTATTTACTGCTCCTTTTTCTGTTTCTTTTACTGTTTTTAATAAAATGCCCAAGATATCACACTTTAATTATATTTTATGCTTGTACTGTTTTGAATGAGGGTGTTCATGTATTCTAAACATTCAGTTGCAAATAGTTTGGAAATTATACAGTTATCTGGTTCTAAGCAGTGTTTCTTCTTTTTCTTTCCCTAGTATCCTTTCACATATGGACTGATTCTTACAATCTGCTGGTCTTCTCTCGTTTGTTTTAGTCGAATATATATGGGAATGCATTCAGTTCTGGTAAGAAAAACTCATATATTCTAAAAGCGACTTTAACATTCAGTACTGGTCTTATTGTATTGCATAATGTTCTGAATAATTATGTCAATTTAAACTCTAGTATAAAAGGTAATGCTGATGATATCCCTTACAGCAACATGTAGGCTCTGCCATGTTTGGTCATTTGGTAATGGAGATGATAGGAAGGAGTTAAATCCACCTAGAAGACCAGTCTAAATGTCTTGCCATCCTGTAGAGCAGTGTTTTTCAAACTTGGCAACTTTAAAATGTGTGGACTTCAAGTCCCAGAATTCCCCAGCCAGTTAAAGTTGCCGAGTTTGAAAAACACTGCTGTAGAGGCTAAGCCCTCCTCCTCTGCACTTTTCCCCTTTGGCTCCATTTCAAGGCTGAAGGTCCAACACTCTGAATGCAGGCTGTTTTTATATTCCATCTGTGGAGTGGATCCACAGAAAGCAACCATGCTGGACCATGATTAGGCTGGAGACTCCTGTAGAGTATTTTCCCTCCAGACCAACAAGTTGTGTCACAATGAGCAGGGAAGCCCAGTTCTTTCCTTTTTTGGCCTTCTTTTTAACCTCTGGCCGCAGTTCCCCTTTTTTCCCGTCAGAGCCCAGAACAACCGATTGTGTAGAGGCGGCAGCATGTACCTGCACTTGGCTGATCTTGAAAAAGCTAGATAAGTGTTCGATCTGGTTAGTATTTTGTGGGACCATCAGAAAACCCCAGCCCTGGGACTAGGTTGAGAAATGAGGAAGAAAAGGCTACTTTTCTTACTACTGTGTTGCTGCCAAGAACAATACATGAGCTCAACTTGAAGGAGTCTTTGCTTTTACCACAGATCAATGAAAGATATTGCATCGACTTCAGAATTCTACTCAACTTATTTGCTTCCCTGAACTAAGGAAGCTTAAAATGGCCAAAGTCTTGAGCACAGGCACTTATACTACAGGCTTGATCATTCTTGCCAGTATGTGTGCATGCATACCACACACATGCACTCGCACTTCAGATTATGCATATATAATATTTAATTAATTAATTAATAATCTGGAGTTCGTTTCCTTTTCTAGACCATTTTGAGATGTAGACCTAAACTGTCTTAATAATCATAGTCATTCCATCTCTTTCCCACAGGGATAATTTATGTGTTAACAGGTTATTTAATCCTTTCTGTCATTTGGGGCAGAAATGGTGTGCACCAGATTATCCTTTGCGAATGCCCTTTTTTCATTGTATTATATTCCCACCCCTCCCATTTTCTAAAAGAAGGTAGACCATAAAAACAATTTTCTTTCCTTTTCAAAGAGGGACAAGTTGTTAAATGAAAGATGGTACTAAAAAATGGGCTAGATCTGGCTGGAGCTGTGGAGAAAAAAGATCCAGGAAAGATTCCTGCAAATGGAATCATGTATCCCTGTGGGAGAGCCAATAGGTAGCAGTTCAGAACATTGTGGATTGCTCCATTCTAAACACTCGTCCTTCCTGGTCATGTGACTCAGGGGAGCATCTGCAGCCTGCCCTTGTAGGGAGCCAGGGAGATGACCTTGGAGAAGGAGTCCAGGTGCCATCAGGGAAACATCAAGTGCAGAAGAAAGTTGTGTTAGATTCAGAGAGGCAGGAAATTATTGCAAAGATTGCCCCCCACCCCACTGCCAGGGTATTAAAGGGAAGACACAGGCAGATTTGCACATTTCTGTTATAGCCCATCTCAAGTATAGCTTTAGTCATCCTGTGGAGTCTGTTTCCTGATCTGGTTTACCTTGAAGGGGTGATAGCCCTTTACTTCCCAGAGTACACACACACACACATCCATAAACACACTCAAGTGCAACCTTAGGGGAGAGCAGAAATACGCACATAGATTGAACACACTTTTTTGTAGAAGAAAATATGGGACCTCTTCTGCTTCTGAAGGGGTTGGAAAGAATTCCAGGAATCAGGCTCCACATGCTTTCCTTACTCAGTTTGTATATGAATAGTAAAGAGGAATTGAAAATGCCAGTAGAATTATTTATATGTCATTTTTAAAAATATCATTCCTCAGCTTGATGTAGTTTTTGTACATAAAGTTGCATTGCTCATTTTGTCCATAAAGTTTGTCCATCTCATTTTGTCACTGAATTAATCTATTAATTCAAATTAATCTATTTAATCTAAATATTTTGCAGCTACTCTCTGCAGTTCTTCTGGAGGAACAGTTTCCTCCTACTGTTTCTTTGTTCTCATTGGATATCCTGGGGCTCCTGCTGGTTTCCTTCCTCAAATAAATATAGCCCCCTTTCTGTCATGAGCAGCTGTGCACACAGGGACGGCACCAAACACTCTGTACTTGGAGTAATGTTGTCATTAGGGGAAATAAACCTCTGCCTAGATCTACAAATGTTCAGATTTCTCATGGTAACTAGAGACACAACATGGTTGAGATTATTTAAATTTTGCACAGGAAACTATTTTCAGGGATGTGGAAGCTCTGTTGACATCTTGTTCTACAAATACTTCATTTATGAATAATCAGCATTACTATTCTGGCCCAGTAACTGTCAGGTACTGTTGATATTAAAATCTTTCTCCAAAAGAGCACATAATTGTTCTATGTTGGAAAAACATGCTGTATGTTTTCGCATAATGAACATGAGCACATATTATCTATTTGTCCCTCCTTTGTTTTGAATGTGTAATTTCAGAACCATTTCTAAATTTTCTGGGGAATGTAGTTTGAAAATACCTAATTTATATTCAGTAAAACTGTCATAATTCTTAAAATGTTATTAACTAACCTATTTTTTTCTATCTCTTGCAACAGGATGTTATTGCTGGATTTTTTTATGCTATTCTCATCTTGGCAGTCTTCCTTCCAATTTTTTTCTATCTCTTGCAACAGGATGTTATTGCTGGATTTTTTTATGCTATTCTCATCTTGGCAGTCTTCCTTCCAATTTTTTTCTATCTCTTGCAACAGGATGTTATTGCTGGATTTTTTTATGCTATTCTCATCTTGGCAGTCTTCCTTCCAACTGTGGATCTGGTTGATCATTTCAACTTAACTTTCCAATATGCACCACTAGTCATTTTGAGTCTTCATCTTGCCTTGGGGGTGTTTTCCTTCACACTAGACACCTGGAGCACATCCCGAGGAGATACAGCTGAAATCCTGGGCAGTGGTGCTGGAATTGCCTGTGGCTCTCATGTTAACTACATGCTGAATCTGATGCCAGATCCCTCGCAAGAAATGCTTCCATTTGTTCCCTCCCTCACCATACATCTCTTTGGAAAGGCTGTACTGCGATTATTGATTGGATTAGTGTTTCTGTTGCTAGTCAGAATGATCATGAAGAAGGTCACCATCCCACTGGCCTGTAAAGTCTTTGGTGTTCCTTGTACAGATATTCGAGAAGCCCGACAGCACATGGAGGTTGAACTGCCTTATCGCTATATTACTTACGGAGCAGTGGGATTCTCAGTGACTTTCTTGGTTCCTTCCTTATTTTGCATAATGGGACTGTCCTGATGTGTTTTCTTCATATGGAAAGAGTGATGGACAGTTGACCTAAGGGAGAAATGGTATACCTTTTGAGAAATGCTATGGTATCACCTCTGCTAAAATAATATGTAGCAGGCAGTAAGCTCAAATCTTTGATACTGGTTAAAAACCTTATAGATTCAGGTCCTTGAGAAATGCCATGTCTAGTCTTACCATTGTAACAACATTATAAACAGCGTGTGGGTTTATGTGTATGGATAAATACAGTTGCTGCCTCAGATTACAAATGCACCATTTTCTCTTTATTTGAATATGTTAAAACAATTATGTTTACAGCTGATCCAGAAGCTCTGTCTGTGGTCAATTAAAGCCATGTCATATACCTGCACGGCAAATGGCTATACTGTAATGAAAAAGCTTTTTTCCATTTATATATACATTTTTTTAACACAAGAAGGGAGCTATGCTAGTGAACCTTAATGAAATTTGGCTTACAACACCTGGTGGCTTTAGATCCTTTTCTGTACTCCAAATTTTAATTTGTGAACATAAACCACTTACTTCCATGTACTGTATTTTTTGCTTCATAATTGTGCCTTTCTGTTGCTAAATTAGAATGCACCATATACTGTGAGAGAGAGATATATACAAACACATCTACTAGAAACTGGTATAAACATATACTAAATGAGGTAGATATTTTAAAATGTAGGTTGCAACATGATTAATAAAAATAAAAGTTTTGTATTCTGTAAACTAAAACTTATATTGGGGTTTACCCACTTTAATCCAGATTCTAGTACTGTTTTAATGGGTATTTTTTAAGTGCAATATATGTTGTTGGAAGAAATATATTTTTGCTGATTCTATTTTTAATTAGGCATTTTATTTTTTATTTTATCCGCACTCAGTCGTTACCGACTCTGCGGTGACTGCTTTGGACGAGTCCTTGCAGTTTTCAAGGCACGGTGTTTTGGAAGTGGTTTGCCAGTTCCTCCTTCCTAGAGCAGAGCCCAGCTGGCGAGCACAGGAGGCAGGGTTTCCATTGCTTCACACCTTTTTCAGGTGAGCGCGGCTTCTGCGCTACTGGCAACTGCTCCCGACTCCTTTTGCAAGGCGCTGCCAGCATTTTTCCTCCCACCGGAGTGAGAGTACTCATTTATCTACTCACGTAAGTTTGCAAGCTGCTGGGTTGACAGGAGCTGGGGAGGAAGCAGGAGCTCACTCTGCTGAGCGAAGCTGGGCTCGAACTGCTGAAGTGTCGACCATTTCTGGCTGGCAACTTTCAGCGTCATTAAGCCGCTGCACCACCGCGTCCCCCAATTAGGCATTAATTATATCCAAAATTAATACAATGTTAAATTACATTTTTTTTCAACATAAATTTTCTTGATTTCAAATAAAATCATATTCTTAACAATGGTGGCTTTAACAAGAAACATATAACAGACTTGCATTGTGCATTGTATTTCTCATGCTATTAGATTGGTTAGCATCAACTTGTGAAAAAGGGTTCTCTCTTGTTCATTTTTGTTTGGAAACTCCTCCACATAATGATCAGATGTATTATTATGGTAGCAATTACATCCAAGGCCATGCAGCCTATTAGTTCTTAGCGGTGACATGATACCTAGAGAAAAACCAGTGAGGGAAAGCCATTATTTTTCTTGTGCCATATTGACATCTGACATGGTCTTTGTTGTCCTAGGGATCTTTGGAGATCAGCAGGGTATGTAGAAGAAAGATATACAGAAGGAGGAAGACCAGACATAAGAGCGTATTCTCTCATATGTCTGACTTCGTATGATACCAGCAGAACTAAAACACTTTTCACACTTCTAGAGTGTACAGTGAATGCACTTGGGGGGTGGGCGAGTTCTGCTCGTTTATGTGTTGTTTACATATGTAAATTGCATTCATGGACATCTCCACTAGGGCTACACAGCAATCCAGATTCAGAGGGCAAATGATGATTTGTTGCATGTGGGACATGCATGGAGCACCTGATGGAAACCCATTAAATCAAATACACCTTTTCCTGCGATTACATAGCATCTGCGAAAGAGATTCAGAGGGCAAATGATGATTTGTTGCATGTGGGACATGCATGGAGCACCTGATGGAAACCCATTAAATCAAATACACCTTTTCCTGCGATTACATAGCATCTGCGAAAGGCACTTGGGTGAGCCCAGGAAAAGACACAGTGTTTTGAATTGTTCTGAACAGGCACTCCAAATCCCATTTTGCTTTTTGAATCTGTAGTGCTGCACAGACCTCATCTCTATTCCCGGCTGTTCAGAAAGTGCCTACCTGTGTACAGTGTTCGCGTGGAGCGTACAGATAGGCAAATGATCATCAACTGTACGGATTACTGAGTAAAGGCAAAATTTGCTGCTGCTATCATGTTCTTACCTATAGATGTTCACGGTACATCCAATTGTGTAAATGAAGGGCGACTGGGCCTTTGAAATGGGTAGTTTGGGTCATTGTAGAAGCCTGTTTTGGGTTCCTGTGGGAACCCTTTGCAATCATGAACTTGCTTTTGGTTATCTTTTTGCAATTCATAAAGGGATTCGGAAGACTGAATCATTTTTCTATTATTTTAATTTCCTTTGGGCCATATGATTTGCAAAATTACTTTATACATGGTATGAGATCTAATGTAGGTAGTGTTTCCTGTTGCACAGAATGTAACTGTCAGCTCTTACTAGGCCTCAGCCAAAAGGCTGGAAATGAATCAGGAACTTATATTTTGACAGTACACCAGAACTCTCAAATAATGCAAACGTTCTCCAGAACTCTTAAACAAGTTGAATGCTCAGGAATTAATGTCTCTGTGTTGGGGATGTGGAAGGGGTGCATATGTTGCTTTTATCCCAGAGTCTATAATTTATAATAAAAAAGAGCCCAGGAGCACGAGGTCTTGCGAAGGTATAATTGAATTACCCGCACTGGGTGCTAGGCACCGTGTACTCAGAGGTACTCAGATAAAAAGGAATAATGATTGTTCTCCAATGTTTAGAAGTATACACATCTAGTTGTAGTTACTTGGCTTTGTTTTCCTGTCATAGTCTCAAATATTTTGTCATAGTTTTGAAAGGTCGCTAAGTTCATTTATTGTTTGGGAAAAGGAAAATGTTCCATTTTGCTTGGCCTCGTTCTCTTATAGATGAGACCGGGACACTGGGGCCTTTGTGTCACTGGGGCCTTTTCTGTGCAGTGTCTTTCTATAGTAGCTATGTTCAGTTACAGTAAATATCAGTTATCTCCTTATATGTGCATTTGGCATTTGTGCTCTGAACTGCATTGTTACAAATGTAGTCCAGAATATTGGCTTGGACACAGAGAACTTAAACTACTTTCATGACATTGGGAGGATGTCCTCCCCCCCGATCATATTTATTCCTACCATCCTGGTAAGGCTCGGGCGTCTGGGGCAGGGAGGCAGGGAGGCAGGGGAAGGGGAGTTAGGTGTCAAAATCTGCAAGATGGTCTGCCCGCCATCTTACAGGGTTTGACCAGATGCCTGTGGCTACTTTTAACATTGAGGTGAGATCTAAAGGCAGTTTGATATTGATCAGGGCTTACTATTTAAAGCTTCCAAAACTAAAGAAGAAGAAAATTATTTGCATGAACCTAAGCAGGTCTCTGAATTATAATCAGTGAATCATTATTTTTCATTTTTAAAATTAAAAAAGATTTTGCTTAAAAAATATTCCCTCAGTACTAGTACATTTTCTTCTACAATTCTATCCAGATGCTAAGAGTTACTTCTGATTATGCACACATTAGCTCCTCCAACTAGTATGGTTTTTCTTGCATATGTACCAGAAAAAAGAGAGTTTCAGAAGAAATTGGGTAATTACAAAAACATTTTTTTGCATGAAATTGACAGTTCTCATCAGCCACTGGAAAACAAAAGTTCTTTTTTTACATTCCTGAAAATGCAATTAATCTTAATGAAAGCACAAAAATTAAATATTTTTAAAATTACATTCTCATTTATTGCCATGCTTTTTAAAAACAAAAAATATTAATAAAAATAGGTAGATTTGAATGACTGTTGCAAGTAACTTGCAATTCTGGGTGGGATTTATTTTTCAAGTGGCATAGCACTATTTTAATTAATATAGAAAGGAACAATTTTGCTGAAAGAGTTCATTTCATTGGTTATATATTTTAATGAACAAATAATTGTCTCCAAAGTTTTAAAAACATGCACTGTAGCATATTCTATTACTCTGTATATTTTTTTACGCTATCTTTAGGCAAAATTAAATACCACATTGACATTTTACATTTATTTGGTGTTACTTTGCTTAACTTGGAACTTGAAAACTCTCATCAAATAGCCAAGTACATATATATGATTTGAAAATGAAATAGTGGAGTCTCTATTTTAAAATGCTTGGCTGTTCATAGGAACATGTTCCAGTTTGAGTGGGGATTAGTACAGAAATGTGACCCTTACAAAGTTATTTAAGAAAAAGATAAGCGGTTGAGGCCCTGTCATTATGGTTATTTTAGCAAAGTTTGATTAGTCCCTTGAGTGGTTCCATTGACCTGAATTATGCAGAAATGGAAAAGAAAAATAAAAAATTGCATATTTATTAACTTTATAGGCGTAAAGTGGTGGCAACAGTGGGCCTTGTCAGCAAGAAGATTTATGTAAATTACTTTCAGGTTGCAATGCAGAATGAAATACAGTTGTAGTTGGGGGATCAGAAGAAGAAACCTTTTTGCTAACGCATTCAAGCACATCATGAATTGATTTTAAAAAATCAGCTACAAGAGTTTCCAGTGTAGCTACAAACTAAATTATAAAACATACAATACAAAATTTAGAATAACACTTAACATATACTGAAGGACAGCAGCAAAAATGGTGATACAACTTATTAAAGATTTTTAAAAGTTTGGGAAATGAAAAGTATTGTTGCCCATTTCACTGACGCTGACAAAAACACCAGGCAAGTCATGCTAAAATATTGCATCATCGCAGGCTACTGGTGCGAGAAGAATTGGCCCGTCATTCAGCGTGACAGCATGTGCCTTGCAAGTGGAAGGTTCCTCATTTAACCTGTCATCTCTATGTAACCCTGGGGGGAAAAAATGGTCTAAAACAGTGTTTCTTAACCTTGACAACTTTAAGATACGTGGTCTTCACCTCCCAGAAGTCTGGGAGTTGAAGTCCATGCATCTTAAACTTGCCAAGGTTGAGAAACACTGGTCTAAAAGCACGTAGATGCATTGCCAGTCAGTGTAAGGACTTTCTGGGAA